CTAAAACATTAGATTATCATAACAAAAATAAATTAGAAAAAAATTATCATGTAGGAGAAGTAGTTTACGAAAAAACACACGGAGAAAGAAACAAATTAGGTCCCAGATTTAAAAAACAAGTCGTTCAGGAAAATTTACCCAATAAAGTAATAATTAATAATAGAAAGAGAGTTATCCATAAAGATAATATTAAATAATCTATACTTTACAGACGATGGAAATCGCATTCGTACTCACCATTCTAATCACCATTTGTCACTCGAAAATTATTGACTACACAAACAATGAATACTTATTGCTAAAAGACGAAAAAGATGTAATGACGTACAATTCATTTGAGGACCTACTCCACATTACGAACCTTAGTTTTTATAGAGAAATAATTAGAGTTGAAGATAACATTACTAATAGCAGCAAAAACTCAGACTTAGAATGGGATATTTCACAAAACCTAAACATTATCAAAATCCTTATGTCCCAACTATTACCATCCAGAAATAAAAGAGGTATTAATGAATTGGGCACAGCATGGAAATGGCTATCAGGTACACCAGACCATGACGACTTAACAAGAATCGAAAACAAAATTAACGAACTGACAGAAAACAATAACAAACAATTTACAATAAATTCATGCATATTTCAAGAAGTACAGCTTATGACAAAAATTCTTAACACAATCGTTGTTAAAAAAGAATCAAAAGTAAGACAACACCGACTACAATTAATCACACTTGATATTCAAAATTTAATCGATACAATCACTTTAGCAAAAGCAAACATTTTAAACACAAAAATATTAAATGAATAAGACATTAAAGAAATATTTAGACACGAAAATAAACCAGTTGTACTAACAGATCTGTTAGACATCTCCACTTTTAAAATAATAAAAAACCAAGACCTACTTATAATATATATAAGATATCCAATTATAAATAACATCTGTAGCTTATATACATCAAGGGCAATTGCCCAAATAAACGAAAAATTAATAATAGACGATAAGACAGCACACTGTAATGGAATATTTTATAAAATAACAAACGTTAAAGAAGAAATATTCAATAATTATTGTAAACTCTCAAACGAGAGCTCTTGTTTCACAAATCTCTTAAATGGAAAAAAAGCAAACTGTTAAAAAATACGAGAAAAAAATAAACAATTGGAAAACTTAGATGATGGCGCTATTCTCATCACTGGAGAAAATACTGTAAACGAAATCAAATTAAAGGGCGCATTTCTGATTTTATTTAATGAAAGCATAATTATTAATAATATAAATTACATCAACGAAAAACAGAAAATGTTAGATTACATATCCCAATACAAATACAATAATTATATAATAACGGATTACATATTTTCTAATGATTCCGAATTAAGTATAGATAATATAAACATTATTAGCCCATTTGTAAAATTAGGAAAAACAAAAATATCCCTGGAATTAATATTGTTAATTTTTATACTTACCCTTTTAATCATATATAAATCACGCAAAATCATACCCAAAATAATAAAACAAATTCAAATAAAATGTACCAAAACCCAAAAAGAAATAGAAATTCCAAAAGCTGAAATCACAACTGAAACTGTAACAGAAAACGAAACTGAAAGAAATATTGAAATAACATTTACAGAACTTAATAATAGAATATCCTCCCTCACCGCACAAATGTAATGAATCGGGACGATTCATCTTAGGAGAATTAACTAGAAGTTTAATCTATATTTATATAATAAACAATTATTTCTGCACTTCCCACGAGCAGTGAGTTCCCACGAGCTCTTACACATTTATCCCCACACTCGCACCTACAACACAAACGGCAAGCCAAGCTTGAGTCAATCATAAACATAAACAAACTCCCCCTATTCGGTCGGCACCAGCAAAACAATATTAGACTAAACATCCGCTGGAATCATGCCACCGCGATTCCCCTTTTTGGCATTCCAATTGCTAGCCAAATTTTCCATGCTGATCGCAGCAAAATCATTCGGGTTCTAACTTCGGAATTATCTTCGGAATTAACTTCGGGAAAGTTCTTAGGGAAGCTTGGAAAGCTTCAATCCCGAGACGACAAGGAAGACAATTAACTCAAGCTTGGTCAGTCGTAAATTAGCCTTAAGTTTATCTGTACGACAATTGCAAAAGTACTTTAAATAAAAATATATATTTTTATAAAACTTCGGTACAGTATTTATAATTTGCACCATAGCTGGTCTATCTGCGGATCATCCGGCTTGATCTGCATGCAGAAATAAACATTTATAACGTTCAATTTAAATACAAAATCGTCTTTTATTTACGGCATTGAAAACGCTCAATGACCAAACATATAGCATTTCCGATCAATCAGTTATATGGCAGCTATAGGATATAGTCGGCCGATCCCGGCCGACTTATATACTGCGTGCAAAGGAAAGACGGGTGTGTGCAAAGTTTCAAGTCGATAACTTTAAAACTGAGAGACTAGTTCGCGTAGAAACAGACAGACGGAAAGACTGACATTCTTATATCAACACAGGAGGTGATCCTGATCAGGAATATATGTACTTTATAGGGCCGGAGATGTCTCCTTTACGGCGTTGCTCATTTTAGGACAAAATTATAATATCCTCTGCAAGGGTATAAAAAGTCCCAAGCTATCTTCAAAAGAAAAAGTTCTATCTTCAAAAATACCTAAGTTGGTATTTCTTTCAAATACAATTTCCGATCGTTCAGTTATATGGTAGCTAGAAGATGTAGTCGGCCCATCGTTATAAAATTTAGTAGGTCAGATTACCTGACCAAAGATATAATCTCTACTAAGTTCCAGCTTTTTAGCTTCAAAAACAAGAAAGTTGGTTCATTCCGGATCGTTCAGTTATATGGCAGCTATAGGATATAGTCGGCCGATTTTTATAAAATTTGGTGCGTCGTCGCATTATTTTGCCAAATATCTCTCATGTAAAATCTGAACTCTCTAACTCTAAAAACACCAAAGTTATACCATTTCCGATCAATCTGTTATATGGCAGCTATATGATATAGTTGTCCGATCTGGCTGATTTTAACATATTATTTTAGGATAAATATAACTCAACTAGAAGTATTTATGTCCGCTCTACCTATACAAGCCGGACCACTGTACAAATTATCAATAATTTCTATCGCTATTCAAAAAATTATATAAAGTGCTAAACGCCACACACGCTTGGCAGCCAACGGCACAGAGATAAAACTTTTGACACCACACGTTTGACACTGGAAGCAGGACTACGTCGTCCATATACTTTGTAAATGATGCTACCAATTCTCTAATTTAGTCGCTGCAGTTATTAGCGTCTCAGTTAAAAAAGAGCCTAAGTTAGTCGCTGCAACCATTGACATTAGAGCGGATCAATTTTTATAGAGCAAAACAAAAAAACGTTGAAAGCGTGGTTACCTATTAACCTATTCAAATGTATTAAATGGATTCAAAGAGTCTTTCGAGGAAAGAGGGGTTTTAAATGAAATCTTGGGCCATACAGATAAGGTTAAAGCAAAGATTATACAATACATAGATCAGGGACATCAGGGCCCAAAACGGTCAACTTGTTTCGTTGAGCTTGTTGGTGAGAGGGTGTGTGTATCTTTACATGTATGTGTCAAAAAAAAATGTGTGCCTTTGTATGTATGTGTCACTGTTTATAATGCGCCGATGTAGTAGTAGAACTTTTGATCGATACCGCTCGAGTCAGGGTGGTAGCGTAATGCATAGAGTAGCTGCTCTAGTCACTAATAAAATTAAAAACAAGATAATTATTTTTTACAACGTTAAAAAGTAGAATTCTCTCTTGCCATCTCATCATTTTGCCATCTGTGCCATCTTGTCATCAACAGCCGAGTCGATAAATCCATGTCCGTCCCTTCGTCCGTGCGTATGAACGCGCGGATCGCAGAGACTATAAAAGATAGAGCTATAGGATTAAGCATGAAGACTTATACAATACCCATCCAGTTCAAGTCTCAAAATTCAAAATTTTTGCCACGCTCCCTCCCGCCCACACAAAATTGCGAATTTCTATAGTGCCGGTACTGGAGGGTTATTTCATGCCCTTTTGATGCCAAACTATTTCTATAGTTAATATATATCTGAAAATAAAATTTCAAATTTCAAATCAAATTGGCCGATTTTTAGAGGAGATATTCCCATATACTTGTATATACCTTTTACCATACAAACGGGCTAACATTTTAAACGCGTGGATCTCGAAGACTATAAGAAATAGAACTATCAGATTTGGAACTAAGGATCGTATGATATTCGACAAAATTTTGCCACGACCACTCTCCCACCTATAACAGAAATCTGGTTGTAGAGTCAGTTCGTTAATATTTTTGGAAAATTTTTTGATGCCAAACAGTTCCAATGGCTAATCTACACCTACAAATAAAAAAACAGCCAAATCGGATAATTTAAAAGTGGAATTATAGACTTATACTGAATCGACAGTATGATCGTAGGGGGGCTGAAGTTTTTGTGTCCAAGTGCAAAAGTATGCAAAAAAATTTTTTGCTGAGAATCCATGCCTTTAAAGTTTTAACTATAAAGGTTAGTTTAATTTTAGGTGGAGGAGATGAGTACCGGGTATAGTAGGGACTCGACTATAGCCGTCCTTTCTTGTTTTAAAGATAAAAGCTTGGGTCTTTTTTAAATTTTGTATACTATGAAATTGGTTTTATAATGAAATTCTTCTAAATTTATCATTTTATAAATTTTGCATTTTTCGACTAGGATTGTTAACAATCTACAATCTAGGTAAAAATCATGTCTATCAGTTGTAATAGAAACTTGGAAGTTTTAATAGATAGTAATTATAGAAACCATACTTTATATCTATTTAACAGCTTTGCATCTGACAAATTTTTAAGCTTAGGCTCCGCTTGAAGTTCTTTTTGAGTTTTATTGGTGTTGAAATTTGAATCACAATCACGATGCATAATTTTAAAATCCCTTTTTTTTTACTTTCAGGTGGGCATTCACATCGCAGAAGATGATGATGACGTAGCAGATGGAGATGATGATGACTATGATGATCTAGAAGAAGAGGGGATATTGGTTGTTGGTGATGAATTGGATAGCATCCTCGAGGGGGGTGAGCATCATAACACACAAATAGGACCCAAAAACAAAATTGCTGAGACCAAAAAGCGATCCACACTTGCTTTAACAAGCCACACTCACACCAAAGAGGTGCGCAGCGCAGACATTTTTTCTCTGACCACTTACGAAAAAGATGAGACACTTGCTCAGGTAGCAGCTAGCAAACGAAAGAGAAAAAGTCAAAATCCTGTGCGTTGCCCGGTTCAGAACTTTCCCGACAGCTCCCTGGACTATGACGTTGCTGCTGATCTTTCTCTTAAAAAAAAGTGTCTACCAGTAAAGCGAAAAGAAATCATTGTACCAGACAAAGAACCTGAAGTCCTTGGCGAGTCCACAAAGGCGATTCCATCACCGCCGCTCACGCCCTATGGCGACCCCAAGACCGTGGTTAATATTAAGACCGAGTTGCCCGAGGAGTCGGAACTAAGCCAAGAAAATCATTACCAACAAAAAACAGACATTAAGATGGAGTCATCAGAGGATATTGGGTTTGATTCAGCTGAAAGTAAATATGCAGATTTTCTCGTTAAGCCGAAATTTATTGGCGATAATAAGTCTGAAATAAAAGATTATCCCTCTAAAAGCGAAAACAAGAACAGAGCGATCGAAGAAAAGCTTGAGGCGAAGAGTGAAGTCAATGCATCTAATCATCATGAAACTGAACTAGAGCTTGAATCGGAGCCAGATGTGCCCATTGACCGAGAAAACCCTCTAAGGTGCATGGCCTGTGGTGAAATTTTTAAAAACCATTTTCACTTAAAAACTCACCACCAAAGTGTGCATCTAAAGCTCCATCATAAGTGCAACATTGACGGCTGTAATGCCGCGTTTTCTTCAAAACGTAGCCGAGACAGACACAGTTCAAACATCAATCTTCACCGCAAGCTTCTTTCCACTAGTGATGGTAACAGCACGCTTACTGTAGTGCAGGATCCGCTACTGGAACTAATGAGTCTCAATCTTAATAACAATATGACCGCTGTTGGTAGCACTTCTTCGTCCTTAACTACGGGCGTAGATGGCGTTAGTGCCGGTCCGGGAATCGGAAGCATACAAGCAGAAATCTTGGCACGTATTTGTGCCAGGGCGCACGGGGCACTAAACGTTCCGCTTGGCTTTGAGGCTTTGCAGCATCGCTTTGCTTTTGGTCATAGACATAGGCATCCATTAGGAATCAATCAAGGGGGCAGCCCAATTCTTTTTCCTAGTCTACATCGGTTTCCACGATTTCCTCAGCTTACACCAAACATACTCGCTGCAAGAGCAGCATCAGGAGGCGGTGGGCTTGGACTTTACTCACGAAGAACTTCGTCCGACTCAAACTCGCAGCACTCCACCACTCCGCCAGACTCAAAAAGTTCGCCGCAGCCATACTCATTACCGTTGGCAGCAACAAACTCTCGATCCGGCTCAGGATCTGACTCACCGGACATTACGCTTGTAAATAGTGCATCATTAAATGTGGGAGGGGATTCTATTGCAGTAGAAGAAGTGGGTCAAGGGCGAAGCTCTGATTATATATCATGACCTTGTACCTCGTTTTATACTGAGGCTTTGGCGTTTTATTACTAGGGGCCAATGCCTTGAACACACATGTCATTTACAAATATTGAAAATATAGACTAAAAATTCATTCACTATCAGGATAGTTTTAGGAGTACGGCATTGCTCATTTAAACTCGAGGAAATAAGGAAGCTTAAGCTTTCATCCTCCGTTACCCGTACGAAAATTTTTCACTAAGATTAATAATGAAAAATATTAAGAGTAAAGTAAAATTTTTTTTTTATATAGAAATAAACTACATTTGAGATTCTTTTTTTAAACAAGTATTTAAAAAAATTTTATTCAAGACTTGACTGTTAAAATTATAAAATAAAAAAATGCCTCAATTGTTTTAAATAATTTATTTATTTAACTTAATAAATTTGCAGTAATACTTGTTTAAAAAAATTTTATACTCACAGTGGGTATGCAACGCGGAAAGAAAATAAACTTCTTAAAACAACTTCAACAATTTTGAGTGATATTTAATTGTAAAGTCATTTCAAACCTTCTATGAAACACCGGTACTATTTTTTTATTGAATTTTTGTTTCTCATAAAACTTTAAGTAATTGCAAAGAAGAAATACAACAAAAAATCTCTAATTATGGTATTGTAATTCTCCGATCTAATTTTTAAGATCTAGTTTCATCATTTTTTCTTGTTTAAAACTGATGTATAAGTAATAAAATACTGGTTAGTTAGTTTTAAAAATTCTTAAAATTATAATATATGTTTGCAATAAAATAACTGAATTTTTCAAAATTTACTGTTTTATCCGTATGCTATGCGTTTTTATTTAGAAGTTCTGGTGGAAATCATTTGTTTTGATGGGAAAAATTTATTATACTAAATATACGCTATGTTCATTTTGAACTAATAAAATAACAATTTTATGCTATAATTATGGCCTAACTATAGTCCGTGCGAGGAGGGAATTTCGTGAGTTTTACCCCCCGGGGCCACCATATAATAAGAAATATTTTTGAAAATAACGTTTTACGGTTTTATTGCACACAAAGACTACCGTAAATGTACCTACATATTTTTATACCCTTGACGAGGGTATTATAAGTTTGTCCAAAAAAGTGCAACGCAGTGAAGGAGACATCTCCGACCCTATAAAGTATATATATTCTTGATATTCATATATTCTGTCTGTCCGTCTGTCAGTCTGTTTCTTCGCGAACTAGTCTCTAAGTTTTAAAGCTATACTATATATCCAATGTTTGCGATCCGGTTTCAACTACAAGGGTATATCAATTTCGGCTCCGCCCAGAGATAGACTTCCTTTCTTGTTCTATTTATGACAGGGTTGTTCTCATTATATCTTTATTTTACAAAAAAAAGCCACTTAGTCAGATAACGACATTCAGTGGCAACCTCTACCATGATATTAACACTACCTGTAATCTTTTAAATATCCAAGCAAGCTGTTAGAGACTTCAGATTTCGTAAGAATGCTATTTTTGGCAAAATAATATGACATTCCAACTTTTATAAGGATCGGCCGACAAAATCCTATAGCTGCCATACAACTGAAGCATCGGAATCGGCGATATATATTTTTATATATATATAAAAAAAAAAGAATTTGTCGCGAAAAACTAGGACATTTTCTGTTAGTTTTATAATTAATTGTAAGTTACACACAAAAAAATTAAATAGGAAATTTAATCTTCAAGGTATGTAAAATATTATCACTAAATTTTTAGTACATATGTATGTTATATTGTCCAATCGTACAATGTGTTGTTGGTAAGTTTTTAGGCCGCTGTTAATGTATCTGTGTTTCTGTGGAGCGTAACTTGTCTAGGCCAGTCGAGGTCGATGAAACATCAATGTCTTAAATAAAAAACAAAATGAAGTACTTTTGGTTCATTTTAAGTTGTAATAAAGTTTAAAAAAAAGTATTATTTCCAACATAAACAAAATTATCCATTTAAAAATTATTTACCTTGAAAATAAAAACAAAACTAAACAAGAAAGGAAAGCTAACTTTGGGCGGAGCCGAAGTTGATACACCCTTGCAGTTAAAACCGGATATATATCGCAAAAATCAAATATAGTTGGCCGATCCTTATGATTAAATTATAATAAAACCAATTAATTACAATAAAAAATCTAACAAGAAAGGAAAGCTAACTTCGGGCGTAGCATCGGATATAGTTGGCCGATCCTTATGGGAAAAGGAATATATAATCCAATTTATTACAATATAAAATCTAAAAAAAAGTCCCAAACTTCTATTTTCAAAAATACGAAAGTTGATATTTCTACCCAATACCATTTCCGATCGTTCAGTTATATGGCAGCTATAGGATATAGTCGGCCGATCCCAATAAAATTTGGTAGGTCGAATTAACTGACCAAAAATATAATCTGTACCAAGTTCCAACTTTCTATCTTCAAAAACACGAAAGTTGGGTCATTTCCGATCGTTCAGTTATATGGCAGCAATGAGATATAGTCGGCCGATCCTTACGAAATTTGGCATGTCGTATTATTTTGTATATTTATTTCAAAAAAGGCTCTCACCTAAAATTTTAACTCTCTAACTTTAAAAACACCAAAGTTATACCATTTCCGATCAATCAGTTATATGGCAGCTATAGGATATAGTCGGCCGATTCAGGCCGTTCCAACTTATATACTGCATGCAAAGGAAAGAAGGATGTGTGCAAATTTTCAAGATGATAGCTTTAAAACTGAGAGACTAGTTTGCGTAGAAACAGACAGACGGACAGACGGGCATGCTCATATCAACTCAGGAGGTGATCCTGATCAAGAATATATATACTTTATAGGGTCGGAGATGTCTCCTTCACTGCGTTGCACACTTTTGACCAAAATTATAATACCCTCTGCAAGGGTATAAAAATAAGTCCCAAGCTTCTATCTTCAAAAATACCAAAGTTGGTATTTCTAACAAAAACCGTTTCCGATCGTTCAGTTATATGGCAGTTATAAGATATTGTCAGCCGATCGTTAAAAAATTTGGTAGGGCGGATTAACTGACCAAAAATATAATCTGTACCCAGTTCCTATTTTCTATCTTCAAAAACACGAAAGTTGTGTCATTTCCGATCGTTCAGTTATATGGCAGCTATAGGATATAGTCGGCCGATCCTTATGAAATTGAGTAGGTCAGATTATCTAACCAAAATATAATCTGTACTAAGTTCCAGCTTTCGATCTTCAAAAACACGAAAGTTGGGTCATTTCCGATCAATCAGTTATATGGCAGCTATAGTCGGCCGATCCTTATGAAATTTGGCATGTCGTAATGTTTTGCCTTTCGAAAAATAGCTTTCATGTTAAATTTGAACTCTCTAACTCTAAAAACATCAAAGTTATACCATTATATGGCAGCTATAGGATATAGTCGGCCGATCCGTGCCGTTTTGACTTATATACTGCGTGCAAAGGAAAGAGGGGTGGGTGCAAAGATTCATGTCGATAGCTTTAAAACTGAGAGACTAGTTTGCGTAGAAACAGAGAGACGGACAGACAGACAGACGGAAAGACGGGCATGCTCATATCAACTCAGGAGGTGATTCTGATCAAGAATATATATACTTTATAGGGTCGGAGATGTCTCCTTCACTGCGTTGCACACTTTTGACCAAAATTATAATACCCTCTTCAAGGGTATAAAAATATAAAAACAAATTGTTATATACAACCATGCTCCGGTTTTCGTTTTCGTTTTGGGACCAAAACCGAGATTTTCGTTTTTAGGTGCTCCGGTTTTCACAAGTTTTTAGTTATCGTTTTATCGGGATGCCACCTTTTCAATGGATTTCATTTTCATTTCATTCCGGTGTTTTTAAAAAGTTATTTTATACACTTTTAGCACATAACTAATTAAATTAAATTAATTAATTTTTAAAAAACATATTTTACCAAACTTCAACAAATTTATCGTCATCCGTTTGATTGTACAAGAATTTTTAACTTGCTTTTTCATTCTATCAAAAGTATGGCAGCTTAGGCGATAACTCATGGTGTCGGACTTTTCGGTCGCTCACGACAGGTCAGGCAAGACAAGTTTTCTCGTTTTGGAATTCGAAAAAATATTGTGAAAGTGAAAACCAGAGCATGCCTGATAAATTCCACTTAATTAATTAATTATGTTTGCTTTTGTTAAAAAATAAAAGTTTGTCGACAACTGTCGATGATAGCGGAGTCCGTCGGTCGCTTATGAGCTGCCCAGCCTTACTGAATACTCTTTCAGACTCACAAGAAGATGCTGGTGCACAGAAATATTTTTTAGCCAATGTCTTAAAGGCGTCACCATCTGTAGTCATCTAAAATACAATATTTTATACAAAAAATAGGAAAATTTATAGCATTGCATAGTTTCTTACCTGCCAGTAAGCAAGGGGTGGTTTTGGTTTTGCCTTCTTCTGTTTTAAATTTAATATTGTTAATTTTATGATGCGGTTCGCATATAACTGGTATATAATTATATAATTAACATATAATTAAAGAAACTGATACTTTTTGATTTGATGAAACAGAAATCGTAGCGTCTCCTAAGGGGGATAGCAATCCCGATATGTCTTGTAAAATTTCGACTTCTGCTTCAGAGAAGGGCGGTGGAGCGTTATGCGAAGATACCAAAGCTAATGTAATGCACTCGTTGGTCTTAAGGATTCGCTTGACCAATTCAAATGCGCTGTTCCAGCGAGATGGCATTTCTTGCAGCGGAGTATAGGGACTATCTCCCTGTGCTTCTTTGAATTTCGCGTAATCAATCTGATTTCTTTTAAAAAAGGCAACGATATACTTACATTTTGAAAGGATTGGATCGATATCTGGCAATTTTTTAGAGATCTTGAACAAGAAGGTTGATTGAGTGAGACACACAGGGTAAGTGTTTATATTCCAAACGACATGCTTTTTAAATGGTCGACTCATTGTCGGTTACTACACAAACAACCTTATTTCCAACTCCCCAGTCATCAAGAACAGCCTTTAATGTTTCGAAAATATTTCTTGCGTTGTGATTACTTGCATCGAGGAGCTGTCTTGTTGCTAGAACTGCAGATTCAAGCTTGAAGCTATTTTGAGACAAAGTGGCATGTAATCGTAATGTAGCCTTCATTTGCTCTAGAAGTCCAAAGGTCCGTCGTAATGGCCAGAAAATCAATGTCTATCAGAATGGAATAGAGCTTGTTTCTTAGAAAATCATATTGGGTTGGCAAAACTAAATCGCGCAGGTGTGATCTACTGGGTAACTTATAGCGCGGGTCCATTTCATTCAT